TCCCCTGTCACCATCAGGATAGGATCTGCGGATGAAGAAAATCACTCTTCTACTCTCCTTTCCCCGTCTCTATCTCGCTCTCATCCGCTTCCTCCTCTTCACACTTCACATGATAGCTGACAGTGAAAGTAGAGCATGGCTGTTTTCCGTTTTCTTTTGAGTCATGTTTTTCATAACACATAAATAGAGCATGCGGCGTCCTGGGAATTCTATGATTCTGTGTTTCAGTATACAGGCGGACACAATAGCATCCACTCCTCTGAAGTGTTGTTGAAAACATTTTATCCATCATAGCTGTTTGTAGGGCTCTGGTGAGGCCCTCGACTCCGCAAGGAGCTGAAAGGAATAAGAGATGTGTTTTGTTAGCGGCCACACCAACACACACTCACGCACACACGCACGGCGTACGCTCCCAAGCCCGTCGTTGCCTGGTTTTGCAGAATGATCAATGCAAATTCTGTTATTTACCCAAGCCTGAAATGAAAAGGCTATGGATCAATTTGATGCACTTCCATAGGGTGTGCTCACAATGGCTGGCTGGCTTTTTGTCTCAGCTGCACCCCCCACCCCCCTTTACTCCTTAGCCATCTACCCCTCGTCTTAAACGCGGCGCCCATCTCCACATCGCTAATGCAAAATACACCACCGCGGTCGCTCTGATCTGCACAAACATCGTGTGTGCATTCTCTCTCTGCACTCTGTTTCTTTCAAATACACCCACAGCGTGACACCGGGGCTGCATCTATCTTAGCCGTGTGTTTGTGTGTCTGTGCATACGTGCATGCGTGCGTTTCGGGCTGACCCACTTTCTGTGCTTGGCCAGGCTTGTGCTGCTGTGCTGTGCTGCTCTGCGCTGCTGAGGGGGAGATCCCTGCAGACTCGCCCAGAACAGGCTCCAGCTCTCCTCCTGACAGACACTCACCGTGGCATGTTATCCCCCCGTGGATTGGAGACCTCTGTCTCTCTGTCAGAGAGCCTGAGTGTGTGTGCGATGCAGATGCACAAACGAATACTTGCAAAAATATATGCATATCGTGCAGAGACAGCAGCAGCAGCATCCTTCTCCACCCACACACACACACACACACATGCTCAAACACACACATTCAAAGCACATACCATCCCAGATCTGTATATTTTTAATTCCATCCACCCTCCTCCGGCTCCTCCTCCTCTCTTCCCCGTGTTTGTCTGGAGTTATTGTTTCAATCTTGCTGCATCAGGGGGCCCCTGAAGGTTATAAATTAAACATAAATGCAAATGCGCTGAGCCATTGCCCTCCTCCACCTCCCTCCTCCTACACACACACACACACACCCATCCTAGCCATTCAAACAGATCAGTGTGTCTGCGAATTAATAGGAGAACAGTGGGCTTTTTTTAATGAGTGAGAGAGGGAAATTACAGTTGCAAAGCCACAGCGCGGCACACCCAGAGCTGCAGCCGAGGCAACGGCTTGAAAAGCCGGGCGCCATCATAGAATATGCTAATGCCCCAGGTCCCCTCACTGTCAGCGGTGCTGTTGCTCTAGATGAGATCAGTGCTTTGATCTGGGACACTGATGGGAGCCACAAACGTCATGTGTGCAAAGTACGGCAAGCGGGAAGGATGTGGATGAGGCTCGTTTAATCACACAAGTCTGCATTTCTTTCTCCTAATGCAGGCTGGTACAGGTCCTTCCTGTCACCTGCACACAGGATGTAAACATGGCATCGTCTTTGTGCCTGTAGGTGCTATAGGCCTGAGCATACTGAGTAGTGAAGACTCTAGAGGCTCAGAGTTGCTTTCAGGCCCTGGGTATGGGCTCATAAAGGCAAGCGGCTGGTGAAGGTTTCCAGGGACGTCACTCGGTTCAAATTGCCTCTGCGAGCGAGCATCCAGGTGTAAAAGTGGGATTGGGCCTCTTGCTGTCGCACGCTATATTTTATCGTGCGTGCATCGTGAGGGTGGAACCACAAATGTGCACTTTTATGTGTTTTTTTCTTCTATCTTTAAACGTTTATATTTTTAACCCACAGCTTGTACTGACGCCGTACCTCCAGCAGGGGTCTTCCCATTGTCATGGACGTGGCTGGTAGTGAATTATCCCACTCTGAACACAGAGTACACTCTCAGGCGGAGCAAACTGTGTCTCCTCGCTTGAACCCGTGTGACCCGAGGCATCAATTATGTGTTGGAAAAATAGGAGCATCGCCGCGCCTGTAGTCCGTCACCTCCACCGTCAGCATCATCCTCGGCTTCCTCACATTTGTTCCCACCACCAGCAGTCATTATCATTACCGCGGCCCTCCTCAGCACAACTCTCATCTCCAAATCCTCCCCCCC